TTTTAAAAAGAAAAAGTCCAAAAAATTGTCCAAGCCCATTTAATTTTCCTCATATCCCGTAGTCCGGGATATATAATCTAGGAAAATGGCGGTCGGCCCTCGTTTGGTCGCCAGATCGCGCTGCAAATGCCACGGGTTTCACTCGGGAGGTGGAAATACCCATAACTTACCTGACAGGCTTCGTCAGGCCGCCGATGCCGGGTTTCAGTCTATTGACCTGATGGAAAACGACTGGGCGCAGTACTTGCGATCGCACCTCGGGGCCGTCCACGAGGATAAGATATGGGAACCGACTGCTGAGAAGCTGGCAATTGCCAAAAAGCTTGGAGACCTGGTCAAAGACCTGAACATGTCTATTGTCTGTGCCCAGCCGGTCCGCCAAATTGAAGGGTTCACGGACCCCAAGCAGCGCATGGCGAATCTGGCTTCAGTGGTGAATCGATTCCCTTTCCTACGGGCATTCGATACGGATATGCTATTCCTCGTCTCGAATATCGGAGCGGAAAATAGCACGATCGAGCTAAAAACCGTCGCGAACGACCTGCGAGAACTTGGGGATATGGCAGCGGCATTTGCCAGACAAGATGGAGGCCCAATGATCAAGATTGGGTATGAGGGCCTTTCATGGGCACTACGGAACACTTGGTCATCCACATGGGAGGTAGTCCGTGCAGCTAACCGGCCAAACGTGGGCCTGATCGTTGATTCATTCAACTGGCTCGCAGTCGAGTTCGCCGACCCATACAACAAAGAGGGCCACGGTCGAATCTACCCCACACTGGAAGAATCGATAGACGTTCTCTGCTCATCCATCGCGTCTATGGTGGCTTCAGTGCCCGCGGAGAAGATATTTCTGCTCCAAATCGCAGACGCGGAGCTGATAGACACCGCAACGTTAAACCTGACTCGATACCAAAATCCAGATGCACCGCAGCTACTACCTTGGTCGCGAAACTTCCGGCTGTTCCCCAAGGAAGAGGAGCGGGGAGCCTACATGCCAGTTGAACTAATTACGGCAGCTATCCTCGCGGCTGGGTATGAGGGCCCATTGTCAATGGAGGTATTCAGCAGGTCGCTCGAGCGGCCAGATGCAGATGTCCCCAAGACACATGCACAAAGGGCCTTCCGCAGTTTCGAGATGATTATGCAAGCTGCGGAATTGGTACCAAAATTTTGGGGAACAATTGCCCCAGCCTGTGCAGAGAAGTGGGGAGCAAAGCTTCTTGCCCAAACACGGACAAAATTTGCCGATCGCCCTCTCACAAATGGACATGGGGAAACCAGAGCCAACGGCGTGGCGCATTAGGTTCAAATTTTAGGGAGGCCCAGGCGAAGGAAATTTGATTTTGGTTGCATAATCGTTTCTGGTCTACGGAGTAAAAAGTTAGTTAGTTAGCTAGTTCTGATTCTGCTTGCGTGCTTTTCTCTTTTTGGCCCAATTTTGTCGATTGCCCATTGGACAGTGCGGAATACTTGTTAGCCGTTTGAAAAATGAAGTAGTCATGAATCTCGTCAGTAGTTCCCAGGTAGTATAAGAGTATTTTTCCAGGGATTTTGCATGGTCTCCCTACGTACAGGAAGCCTGTCTCTTCAGGTCTCTGGACGGAGCTCCCGTCCCCACCGATTCGGGTTAAAAAAGCATAAAACTACAGTGTATGAAAGGGAAGAAAGAAAGAAGGAAAGAAAATATTACCCCCCGGATGTGGGGTTGGAGGGCAGATCCCGGCACTGGCATGGTTCAGCTAGCGGGTGAGATCAGAACTAGCCAGTGAAGCCGCCGGGGACACATCTCAACGAGTGACAAGAAGAGTACAGCGCAGACTGTGCCAAAACCAGGTGCAGAAGAAAGTATTTCTTCGGAACCCTCACTAGCTTCGCAAATCAATTGATGATCAATGGCGTGTGGCGGCGGAGCCCGCATGAATCTCGATTTCACTATTATTGATTCGTTGATGAACGAACATGTCGAATCCCAGTGGGATAAAGACGCAATTTCGTGCGTGGGAGGACAAGTCGTGTTACATTCGTCAAGTCGCAAGGGGACTCCAAAGACAAGCAAGCATCCAAGCTGCGCCCCAGTCTTCTCCCCCGCTGTCTTCAACAACAACACTCTGCGTTGTCAGTGAGATGGTGAGGATTTTTCAGCCTCCGATCTCCGAAGTAAGACGACGTGGAGTTTTGCGGTCGGCTGAAGGTTTTCGGTTATGCGCACGCTAGTCCAGATCGGGGCTAGCGGATATCCCGATTCGGTTGTGCCTATGCCCGGAAATTAGATGTTCCAGCCAGCCCCAAGTCGAGCCGGCCCTCTGCGATCGCCGCCGCCCAGCCGTGTTGGCAAACCTCAATCTTTGGGCGAAAGCTGTTCGTGGGAATCATGGCGCAGAATCCGCCCGGAGATGGCGTCTGCGCCGATGGGTTCACTGGCTGGAGATGCTTGCAGTCGACGCACAATACAGCCGGAGTCGGCCAGCCAATGGGTTCGTCAGGAGAGACCTCATTCTTTGGTTTGTTTTTCTGCTGTGCAGGCAGCTCTCAAAAACATGGCTTCACCCGAACCACCCCTGGGCCCTGGCGCTGCTGAGGACACTCGCTCGTTACTTGCTCAGCTCGTAGCACTGTGAAATTCGGCTCTTTTGGAGAAATTTTGTGAAAAATTTTGTGTCTAGCTCGGGTTCCAAGGTTGGAGTTCCTTTACACACCAGCCAAGCTTGGTCCATATGGTGATGTGAGAGACGTGTGTGACGACGATAGCTTTTCGGGAAGAATTCTCGGGAGCAGCATGCCTGTGGCAGGCTCCCTGCTGAGAGGGTTTACTTTAACAAGCTATACGAAGCTATGCAGACCGAGATTTACATATATAGCTGATGCTGAAGGACGAGTTTTCCTCGGGAAAAATTTTTCTTCTCTCCTTCTGTGAATTATGTGAATTATGAGAATTCTGTCCTTTTAACTTGATAAAACCATCTTACATTACCCTAGAAGCTATAGTTATCCGCCCGTGGAAATAATCGAATGTTCATTTTTATATAATGGCTCCATTGATCCATGAAAACGAGAGTTTTTCTCCCTATCAAAGCAATGCATCCTCCTCGAAGCCCCTGCCCCGCGAGTCTGCGAAGTCCATTCCTTCTTCGCACACCAGTCGTCTCGAGCTGGCGTTGTCTGAAGCCCCAGCCACCCTTCAGCATGTCTTGAAGACGGACACAGATGGTGGGGCTCTCTGTAATGGAAACTCTGCTGGTGTTGACAACACCTTCAAGATCCTGCAGCTGGCTTGGGCACTCACCACATCCTGTTTCACCTCCGCCAATTCCCTCCTGTTCGACTGGGATTCAAATTCAGGAATTTCCTGTTTGAAGGCGCTCTCGACTGGACAGGGCTCCCAGTTTGGGGATCAATTATTAATCATCGAACCGGATGCCAGTTTGCGACAAGTTCTAGACAAGCTAGCTACCACCCAACGCCGCGCTCGGGAATGCGCCAAGCAAACCGGGAATTCTGATGATGAGGGTTCAACTGACATGTTCTCAACTGCCTTTCGCTATCGCAATGCTTCAGCGTCAAATTCAGAAATCAATTCCGAGGTCGGTTTCAGTCGACGTTTCTGCGGTGACTTCCCGTTTGGAAGACCCTGAGCACATCTATCAATCATTTGACCTCCCCTGCTGATCGTTTGCTAGGTCGATATTTTTCTCGACGTTACCGATGCAAGAGACGGCCGATTGTTGGCCGAGCTTGTCTTTTCGAGCCAGGCCATCGCTGACCCACTTGCGTTAAGTGTTCTACACACGTTCGACCATGTCTTATCGTCGATACGGATGTCCCCAGATATAACAGTGGAGGAAGTCAACATGTGCTCGCCGCACGATCGACAACATATTACCCAGCTAACCAGCCATGTTTCTGAGTCCAATGAGCGATGTCTTCATGACATGTTTCTGGAACATAGCCACACCAATCCCGATGTTCAGGCCGTGGTTTCGTGGGATGGTGATTTGACTTACGGAGAGCTGGACGATCTGACGTCAAGACTTTCCCATCGTCTTGTTGAGCTAGGGGTAGGCCCCGAAGTCTTCGTTCTTAGCTGTTTTAAGAAATCAACTTGGGCTATTGTTTCGCGGCTTGCGATCCTTCGAACCGGTGGCGCATATATCTCGATCGATGCAGCTGACCGTGGG